CAAACACTAATCTCATCAAATAAAAGGGTTTCTAAGGGTCAGGCTTCAGATGAGCTTGTGTAGGATAACGAGAGAGAGAGAGAGAGAGAGAGAGAGAGAGAGAGAGAGAGAGAGAGAGAGAGAGAGAGAGAGAGAGAGAGGAGAGAGAGGAGAGAGAGAGAGAGAGAGAGAAAAGGGAGGTATTGGAAGGAAGTCAAGGCCTCTCCTTCTCACCTTACTGAGTGAGTTGTTGTCTTCCTCCTGTCGAAGATCTTTTACCACTTTTCCATTCTTTATGTCCTTAATACTGTCCATCAGCTTATCCTTCTTGTCTCCTCCTTCATTTATCACTCTTCGGGGATTACTCTCTACTTCTCTTTCGTATTTATCGCATTAACAATCGTATTGCTTGATCTTGAGCTTGTAAGTGGCTCTACGAGTGTGTGTGTTTGTCCTGTGTGTTTGAACGTGTATGTGTGTGTATAAGTGTGTGTGTGCGTGTGTTTTGAAGGGTATAGGGTGTATCCAGATGAACTTGCGGGGTTGAGTCTCAGCTCTCGGGCCGGGACGTTTGAGCATTCCAAGTTTACATGTTCTCAACTCTTACATGTGTTTCTTTCATGTGCATTTAAAATTGCTCATCGAGTTAGCTGCGGTACCTTATTTATGTAACTCGTTTCATTTATTTACGACTCTTCTACTGAATAAGTTCTTTCTGACATCTCTGTGGCTCATCTCTAATTTCCATCAATGTCCCCCGTCATCTGGTCTTCCTCCCTCTAATATTGATTCTTTATCAATATCTTGGCATATCTTTATCGATATCTTGGCATATCTTTATCAATATCTTCTTGGTCTTGGAGTAGTGAGTATCGTTATCATAAGTCCACTATTCAACCTTTCATCTCATGATTCTTCATAGCTCAGTCTCTTGACCTTCCTGTTATCTTGCGATGATGCCGAGGATCAACGTTACCCGTGGCCCGGTCTCTGACCAGGCCTCCTGATTTTGGTGGTCAGGTAAACCAGGCTGTTGGACCCGGCTGTTTGCAGCCTGACGTGTGAATCACAACCTGGTTGATCAGGTATACTTTGGAGATGTTCAACGAGTTCTGATTTGAAGGCCGTGAGTTGCGCCTCTGACAAGTAGCGAGAATGATGTTGATAGAGTTCTCTCTCAGCGTACCTATAGCGCCCCTGCTTTTCAACGGAGCTATTCTGCACATCCTGCCATGCCTCCTGGTCTCAGCAGCGGACATTGTTACATATCTTCAATTGTTTTCTGGCTTGGTTTGGTTTCTTTAAGTAGGAGTTCCAATCCGGTACAGCATAAGGAAGAGTGGGTCTGACATACGTTGTACAGATCATCCGGACGGCCCCTTTGTCCATGATCCGGATGGGTATCCGGATGTTGGTCAGTTTGGCATACATGTCAAGGTATTAAGTGTTTGTAGGGCGGTTTGTTGGTTAAATGGTGGTAGTTATGGTAATACACTTAG